TGAGGACAAAGACCCCTCCCACACAGCACCCAGAGAGGACATGGAGCTAGACAGATGGACGGATAGGGCCAGGTACCCACCCGGGTGTTGTTCCGCTCGGCCTTGAGCTCTGTGATCTCCTCCTCACGCTCCAGCAGCTGCTCCCGGCATACGTTCAGCTCCTTGGTGAGCGCTGCAAACTCCTGCAGACATACAGACAGTGAGACCCTTCAAGGGAACCCCCCAGCCAGCCAAATGCATCCCCACCCTGCCCAGAGCTGGGAGGAAACCCAGGCATCCTGGCTCCCAACCCCCAACCCCTGCTCTAATCCACCAACCAGCTCCCACTCCCCTCCCAGAGCCAACAAAGAACCCAGGTGTCCTGGCACCCCCTGCACCTGTATCCCAGGGGACTGCACCTAAACCAGCTGAAACACCTTGAAGAGGAGGGGCCCGAGGAGGGGGAGGGAGTGTCAGTGTCACCAGGAGGGAACTGGTCAAACTGGAGCAGCTGAAGCACAGCACCAACTTCCTGGCAGGTCTGACAGCTACACAGAGCCAGAGCTGGCCCAGTCAGTGCACCTCACTCCCAACCCACAGCCCCCTGCTCCCCCAGTGCCCCATATCCTAGACCCACAGCCTTCCCAGTGCCCCTTCCTCCTGACCTGGGGCAGGGCGATGTTGAGCTGGCGCTGCAGGGACTCCTTCTCGTGGGCAAGCTCCCGGAGGCGGAGCTGGGCAGTGCCCAGGCTGTCCTGGGTATCACGCAGGGTCTCGAGCAGGCGCTCGCGCTCCGTCAGCATGTTTACCATGAGCTGCTCAAAGTTGGCCTCGTCGGCCCCATAGGCCGAGCCACGGCGGTTGTCCTCGCTGATGGTAGGCATCACCTCACACATCATCCTGCCGGCTGGGTTGAGGGCAGGGCCCTGAGGGGCACCGCGGGCACAGGCAGGACAGGGGAAGCTAGTGGGGGGCCCGGCCCGTCTGGGCGGGGGCTCAGCACCCCAATCTGCTGGGGTTGAGGGGGGGGAAAAGAGAGAGAGAGAGAGTGTGAAATGGAGGAGGACACTTGGGTTCTGCTCTGGGCAGGGCGGTCTGGTGGAAGGGGAGTGGGGTCTGAAAGCCTTCATGCCTGGGTTCTCTCCCAGCTTTGGGAGGGGAAGGGGGTCTGGTGGGTTGTAGCTAGGAGGGATAAGGTAGGCTGAGAGCTTGGATGCCTGGGCTCTCTTCTGGCTGGGCGCCTGGTTTGTCTTCAGGCCTGGGTGGGGATAGGGAGTAGGGTCAAATGGGTTGGGGTTAAGAGCCAAGACACCTGGGTTCTCCCCCAGCTCTGAGTAAGAGGAGTACTTTACAAGAAACCACATTAACCAGGGACCACCATGAACTGGCCCCAGATCCTGGGGCTCTGGGAGCCTGTGGCCTGCTCAATCCCCCATCCCTCCCTGATGCCCAGGGCGGACTCCTACGCTGGGACTCCCCCCTCCCCCCACATTCATTCTGGGGTGGCATGAAGTCTGGGCCCGTCCCCAAGGGCTTGTGCCCCTCAACATGGGGAGCAAGGAGGGAGAATGCATGGGGTGGGAGCTGCTTCAGGGCCTCCCTAGGGGCCATGATGGGCTGAGGAATGAAGCAAAAGGAAAATACAGCTCCCAGCACCCCCCAAATGAGACCCCTCCCAGCCCCACCAGCCCAAGAGCCGTGGAGCAACAAGGCCTCAGACAGACACAGACATGGCCATGCCAGCAAGTGCACACACGTGTGCACAGACCCCAAGTTTCCCTCACATGCCCGTGCATACCCATGTGAGCATGACCACTGGAGAGGGCAGAACATGGGGGTCGAGCCAGGTAGACAGACAGACAGATGTGGATGGTAAGAGCAGGTGGCAGTGGAGGAGAGGGGCTTCTGCCCCACAGGCCTCCACAGGGGCTGGCTGCATAGAACACAAGGCCAGGAACCCCAGCACACACATGTGCACACAGAGCCTCCCAGGACCAGCTCCTCAGAGCCTTGCCACATAGGACACGTGTGCATTAACCAGCACAGCTCCCTCAGGTCTCACACAACATGCATGTGCTTGTGTGAACACACAGTCCCCAGCAGCTCCCTGGGGCTTTGCACAGCACAGTGCACACATTTACATGTATGCACAAGGCCTCAGGGCTTTGCATGCTGCAGCACACTTGCTCTCTTGCACATGGACACACCAATGCACAGGTAGGCATGCAGGCACCCAGTTCCATGAATAAAGCAGTGCATGGAGCCATGGGCAAACACATGTACACACACACACAAACACACCCAGCTTCCCTGGGCCCTGCACAACACTGCACACGAAGCCACCTATGCAGGTGCAAACATGTGATCACACACATGCAAGCAAATGTGATCTCACACACACACACACAGCTACCTGGGACCTGGCACAATGTGGCATGTAGGGCCACACATGTTCACACAGACATACAACACACCCAGGCAAACTCCAAGGTGTTTATAGTTTCCTCAGACCACTGCAGAGCCTGGTACACAGAACCACACATGTGCACCCAAGTCCTCAGGGGCCCATGCCACACGGTATGCAGAGCCACACATGTGCAAACACACACGATTCCTAAGGGTGCTTGTACAAATCCTAGTGAACACTTGGGGACTCGTGCACATGCAGGGACACATGCACACGTGCACACACATGCACAGACATGGGGGCTCAAGCATATGCGTGAGCACGTGCACACACACACACACACACACACACACACACTCAGGTGCACCCTACTTCACAGCGGGCTGAAGGACAGAACCACACGGCAACATGCTCCAGCCAACTTTGGTCCTGTGTGCCAACTTACACACATGCATTAGGACCATGGCACATCTGCACATGCGTGCCCTTGATGCACATACCTCATTCCTCCCCAACAGCAACATGTGCAACTGCCACACACTGGGGCCTGGGCACCAACACAGGCCGGGGCGCACACAGTCACTGACATGCGGGCACACTTGGGCACACCACAGCTGGTTTGAGCCCCTTGCATCCTCATGAAGATAGTCTCCTTCCATATACACACAGATCCCCGTGTACCTACAGATATGACCCCACATGCAGAAACACACCAGTGCCCTCGTGCATAGAGGCCCAACACATACAGACATGCCTGTGCACCCTCAGCCATACCACAATCACTCCAGGACCCTCCCCTCTGGCTCCTGTGATCCTCAAGGCTTTGGACTTCCAGACACCCCCCTCCCCGCTTCCAGACACATGTATCATATACCAACACAGTATCAGTGCATGCACTGGCACGTGGGCCACGGAGCAATCATACACCAGGGTGCCACAGCAATAGTGCCCCAGCATGTGCAAAAGGATATCACACCCATGGTGTACGCATCACACCAATAGCACACTAGCATGTCTGTGATACCGCACATGTGTTGCGCAAGGTGTGGAGACTCCACCTACACACATCGTGCCAACACTGCCTCCCAGCTTATGCCGGAATACAGGTGTCGCACCAATGGTGTGTCACGACAGCAGCATGCATGTCCCAGAGAACATGGAAAGGGACCGATGCCAGCGCATGCACCCCCACATCATGGATACAGTGCACAAGCGGGTCTGTGGCATGTGACTGGGCACAAGTGTAGGGCAGCGTACATGCGTGTGCAGGGCTGTGTGAATGCATGTAAGCCTGAGTCCACATGCCCCCCCCTCCACACACAGCAAGCATGAGCAGGGGAGGGGCTCTCCTTCCCCTTTGCACCTGTTCACACCTGTCTGAGGTGGCAGAGGGATGTGTGCAGACTTTGAGAAGGGGGGCAGGGAGCAGGGTCTGAGGCTGGGGCCCTTTCTGGGGAGCAAAGATCCCCCCAGCAAAGAATCCACCCTGGCCCAAGGCCTCTTCCCAGCACAGATGCCCCCCTTCCTCCTCCCTGCCAGCCCCACAAGGAGATGGATGGGGGGGTCCACGGGGCTCTAAGCCGCCCCCCCCAGCCAGGCTGCGGGGGAGGGGGAGGAGGGGAAGACAGAGATACCGCCTGGCACCCTGAAAGCCAGACCCCTCCCCCCAGCCTAGCTGCAGACACAGACTCCATTGCCCTGCGGACTTGGTGGGGGAAAGCTCCTGTAAGGGAGGAAGCCAAGAGACAGCGTAGCCACCACCCCCTAGGAGGGACCCCAGGCTGGGGTGGGGGGGGAAATCAGGGCTGGGGTAGGAAGAGCATAGACTGGATGATGTTGTGGGGGGTATGGGGCAAAGCCTGTGTGAAGGGGGTTGCAGGGCATGGGCAAGGGGTGCACTAGGGGGGAATGGGCAATAGGTGCAGGAGGGAGGCAGATGGGTTGGGGGTGCACGGGTGGGGCCCAGGCCTAGAC